CTCTTTCATCGCCCCAATAAGTTCTTCCATCATGTTTTACCAAGAACATGTATATAATAATACAACTCTAATTCTATAGCTGACATCTTTTTCAATTTTTCCATTCTATATATTAATGACCCAAGATATCAAAATTAATCTTTTTTAAGTACTTTTTAGCCATCAATCTTAACTAATTACTCATTTCTACTCCTAGTATTATTGAATTTACATCTAAGTATTTGTCGTAAAAAGATGTCACAAAAGTATTAGCGCTTTAGCTTCACATACTAGAAAATCTGGCCCACAATAAATGCCGATCATGCAACACTGTTGAAAAGTCATTAGGTACTTATGAGGAGAGACTGAAGAAAAAACGTTCCAACCTCTAAAGTACCAAGTTTATCAAGATTCAGAGATGCTTGTTGCATCATTTTCGTATTGAAACCAAAGTTTGGCCGATGAGCCAAGGAATCGTAATCTCAGTTTGTTTGGATTTCAAGTTTTCCCCTAGCACGTGCCAAGGTCAATTAGACCTGATGCGAACACAACTCCTACGATACATAGGGATATCTCTCGCACATTCCACAACTTATTTTTTAGAAATATTTAAAATAGCATTCGGGGCTCATTATGCACATGGGCCCACCATGGCCTACATAGCCACCTCTTCGGTGGCACACCCTACTTTTAGGGGTTTTCCTATTTTATAGGGTTGAATTGATAAGAGTAATAACTTTAGCTTGGAGGTCAAGTTATTATGAGATTTAGAAAGATGATTTATCTTGAGAAAGATTTGAATGAATCTTGAGAAAGCATGATAAGGCTTGTGCATATTTTTAGATAAAGCACAACATTATGATGAGTATTAATTGATTTGATTTCTATTTATGGGATAATAGTTAAAAAAAAAAAAAGGAAAAAAGGTTCTAGCACCTTCCATAGCATGTTGATGGCCCATCTATGGAATTGAAGGCTCAAATCTCTCATCCCACAAGTCACCCAAAATCAATGTTTCATATTCAATCCACAAGATGTGGCAAACCATAGAAATCTTAGAGAAAGCCTAAATCTTATTTTTTGCGGCTATAGAGTTCTTCTCTTTCTCATCTCTCAACTATAGATTTATGGCTAAGGGTTTATGGTGTATTAAAAAGAGAATATCTCTCTCAAACTAGGTTGTTAAGGGGGATTCACCTAAGAGATTCATGTTCCATTGGTGTGGCTTGTCCAACTTGCTTTCCCGGTTGAGATTGAAGGTTGATCGTTAGATCTCGTACCATCGGAAGGTGGCGACTCGGTGTGGGGTGTGAGAAGAATGGTTGAGGTAATCTCTGGTACCCTCTTTGTTTCTTCCATATTTATTTATTATATCTTTTATTCCCAAGCATAGATTGTGTCTTTTTTTTTTGTTAATGAAAAGGATGGCTTGAATGGCTTCAAGTTCTTGATATCCTATTTTATTTTATTTTATTTGAAGTTAATATATTATAAAAGGACTTCTTGTGAGTGATCTAGACCGTGAAGAAAAAAAAAAATTGAACAAAAAACAAACGAAAGTTATTATATACTCCGGCTAGATCATCTGTCCTTCTTTTACATATCATCCATGACCATTTTCTGCAATTTTTTCTATACCTCTGTGTAAATAACCTAATATGGGTTCACAATCAATAACAACTTCACCGTCTAAAGTAACTATGAGTCGAAGAACACCATGCATTGATGGACCGTGAGGACCTATATTGATTATCATGAGGTTATTTCTTGTAGCCGGTACAGTCTCTCTCTCTATCATATCTTAGAAGCACCCTCCACTTATTTGGGCTTGTCATCCAAAGTACTCTCCTTGAGGCTCTTATACATGAAAGTCATGCCCTCACCACTCATCAAAGTTATTACACTAGCCACCCCATTCCAAGGCACGAGGAACACTGATCCACAAGTACACCAAGAAAGCAAAGGTGAGTGCAATTATGGACCCCATGGTGGCAAATTTGAGGGAATTCCTCCTCTCAAAGGCTTCAGGCTTCCATGGCCTATTGCCTGCCCTGAAGCTGCTGTTTAGGCATTGTAGCCAAAGAATCCCAACCCCAAAACTGAAACCAAGATGGATGAGAAAGAAGAGCGATAGTCGAAGGACTTTGTGGCCTTATGCCCATGGTCTTTTCTACTCTCCATTGGTGATGCAGTAGATTGCTCAAGATAGTCGAGGGCGATTATCTCGACTGCATCAATTGGAAAGAGAACCTCAACCTTTGAGCACAAGCATTTTTATAGAGAGAGATGTGCGTGTCATACCCATAGAAAAATTTAAGGGGCAAAAGACTTGAAATTCACGCATATTTTGGCT